ACACTGGAGCCGGCAGGTTCAAATCCAGGCCGGGCCTGCCAAATAATGACAACTACAACCAAAAAATAGCCAGGTGTTGTGGTGGGCACCTGTAGTTCCAGCCACTTGGGAGGCTAAGGCAAGAGAATTAAGTGAGCCCAAAAGTGCTCTGTGATGCCACAAGGGCAACATAATTAACTCTGTCTTCAAAAAAAAAAATAATAAAATCACAGAATCTTATTCAATGAAGAGTTACCAATTTATTTCAAAAATGTAATCGACACACTTGGCCTACATGAACCCCTTAAGTGACTCCTTTGTCCTTTGACATTTTTCCACCATTTTTTGAGATTTCCTTTCTAGCACAATAAATGTTCCAGGTTCATCTTAACGTTTCTGTGCCCTAGGCCTGACATTCCTCCAGGAACTACAGTTCCTTTTCCATTGCTCAACACTTTTACTTGCTCCACTTCTGAACATGTCCTTAAAAATAGCCCAATGAATCTTTTTACTTGAAATATACTGTTTGATAAATTAAACACAAAAATGTATGGCCTGATTTATGCATGGCTCATTTCCATCTTTGATTGTTTCTTTTTCTTAGAAATGTTAAGAGTCTCACTACATTGTCCAGGCTAGTTTCAAACTCTTGACCTCAAGCAATCCTCTGGCATTGGCCTCCTAAAGTGGTAGGACTGTAGGCATGAGCCACTGTGGCTGGCCCATATTTGACTGTTTAAACAAGTAAACTGTACTAAAAAATTGTTATTAAAAATGTTAACATTAGTGGAAATTTGCAGGGGAGTCTCCCAGATGATGAGGAATGGTATTAAATTGAAAGACTCAGAGTCTCATTTTCAAGAGGATATTGTTTACACTTATTTTCTACACTTCATATACTTGTATCTTGGTCACATGCTTATGACTGTTTAAAAACCAGCAGAGAAAACTTAAAATATTGGTACATATCAGCTTGACACAGAAAGAGCCAAACTACACCAGACAAGTTGAGAAAGGGCCACCAGGAGTTCATCTGAATTTTCAGGTGAGCTAATGATTTCTAGGCTAGCCCTTCTTAGAATTTCCCTGGTTCACTATAGTCAAGGATCATACAGACCTACTCTTGAGTGTTCAGTAAGCTTTAGGGAAAACTAGCTCATTGTCCTAGATTCTAATATCATTCTGTTATTTTTATAATGGAATTCTTATAAAGTATGCTTTACTTGATGCATTTTATCAGTACTGAAAGGACTAGTAAAAATAGGGAAAAAAATCTCAATAAAAATATTTGTTGATGGAAAATCATAGTAAAAGCAAACCTCCAAATACCCATTTGTAGGCCATAAGAGCATAAGCACAACCGTATGGGAGGAGATAACCAGTCTCTCCCTTCATATATATTCTTTTTTATTTCTTGTTATACCTTCCCAAAACAGAGACATTCAACAGTAGTTAGAATGGCCATCTCCCAACATTTAAAAAACTGCACCCCCCAATGGGTGAACAAAGTAAAGAGTAGTAACCTAGAGTTCAGCTGAGTAAGCCACTGTGGAGCCTTAAGTGGTGAGGTCTTCCAAATTCAGAGTGATGTGTCTTCAACTTGTATCATTTTAGTGGGAAAACATAATTTAATTTTGGTGAAATGAGATTCATCTCCCAACAGGATTAGTAACAGCATTCACTGAATTTCATTCTTCTTTTGTGAACTGTGAAGAAAATGAATGGTAGCTAGAAGGTCAATGGGATTCCAGCTCCAGCTGCAGATGGAATGAAGATATACCAGGACAAAAACACCTATATTCTGATTTACAAAGCTAACAGCAATTTTAAATCTGCAACTTAATTACAGACCAACTACACCAAAACCTTTTCAAATGGCAAAAATACAAAAAAGTGTTACAAAAATATTTCAGAAAAAGTGCATAGTCTAAGTGCATAGTAAATAAAAGCACTGAAAAATATCTTGCTAGAGGGAGTTTAGCTTGGAAGTTATTACCGAAGCTAAACATTTTTATTTTACACAAACTATACTCAAAAATAGCTTTATGAGACTGATTTCTGGCTAAAAGTATCAAAGGGTCTATTAGTCAAGAAACAAATACCTTAACTGACTAGGGTGGATAGGAAGGAAACAAAGAGGCTGCCTACCCCCAAATATCAGACTTAGGACATTTCTTCAGTATCAACGGTACTAATATATCCCTTAATGGCAGAATGTGGTAATCATGGAATTAATTATTGCTAAAGTAGTTTTCAAATTAAAAAAAAAAAAGAAAAACAAAAACAAATTAAACCTGACACAATCTGACCAAACACATGTCAATTTACAATTTCAAGGTTATTTTACAAACTACCTACATTTACACAATAGGCTCCCGGCTGCATTTCCAGCAAACGTTCTTTTAATTTATCCTGACATGCTATAAATGAATAAGTTACACTATCTAAAGAATTGTTGTAAGTTTTCCTTTCATTTGGGTCAGAGAAAAAGAAAAGAGCGTGCAAATAAGACTGAGAGGAAGTGCACGCACACAGATAAGCATAAGGGGGCTTAGGGAAGGTCAACAATCACTGCACCTCACCCAGTCACTCTTCAAGAAGAGAGTCAACTGCTAATATCCACTTCACAGGTATTTTAAAGAGAAACATTTTGTGGTCAAACCCTTTAATGCTTTCAATCCTATTCAAAATCAGTCTAGCTGCTAGTCAGTGGGCAGGAGTTATACATCAAGTTTAGACAGTTGCAGCACTAGGTATTGCGCCTGCAAGTTCATTAAGAAGAAAAATGTAAGAATGCCTTTCCCCTTCAGACAAAAAAAAAAAAAAAGAAAAAGAAAAAAGAAAAGAAAATTACTTTCAAAATTGAGGAAAAGTTATCACACTAAATCTAACCTGACTTGCAAAGCAATATCATGTAACAAATGGCTTGACAATAGTCTATTAAAAAACTGGGGGAGATTTTTATTTCATAGTGAGTCAGCAAGGCATTTTTGATGTTTAAAAAAAAATCTCATTTCCTTACAGAAACAGTTTTTAGTTTTTAATGAACTTGTAAACAAAAAAGCTCCCATTTCAAAATAAAAACAAAATCCCAGATCATATAGATGTTTACAGTGATTACATTTATCTAAGCAACATACATACATGTTCAGTTGTAAGATGTTAACTAAATTTCTGTGACAAATATGCTTTTTTTAATACCAAGAACATTATAGAGTTAATGCAGAGTCCTAAGGATAATCTAGTAGTCACTAAGTTTTTCTTAAGTCTTCACTTTAAATGCTGTTATTTCTAGCACAGGTAAGCAGGCAGAGTCTTTCATATGCTCAAACACTGGAATCTTTGGTTGCTACCACATCGGCTGGCTTGCAAACAAGAAGCCAACCACTTTAAGAATGTTTTAAGTGAACAACTTGCAAACCCCAGGGATGGAAAAACCCTAAGAATATGCACAATTGTGAGCATTTACAACCATCACAACTGTGGCTGAAGACTGTTCATGCCGTTCTTCTGAAATGAGATCTCAAAGCAGTATAGTTCAAAATAAAAAGTTTTAACAAAAAAATTGGCATATGCACAATTTCTCCACCAATTTGTGTGTGTCAACCATTCAGTTAACTTTTCCACTTGAAAAAATGCAATAGAAAACCGGACACCATGTTTCACTATCTCAGTTAATATTCACAATTACAGTGGCTACAACTCAGGATACAGCATCACCAAGGCTGCCCAGAGTCAGTTTATACTGAAATTAAGTTCTTTACACCAAGAGTAAATGGTTGTCCACAACCACTGGCTAGTGTACATATGAACTAAAATTTCTAGATTTGGGGAGAAACAAATGCTGCTCCAATCATCTGCTCTGCTTCTTCTGTTCCTCAATTCATGCTTAGAAACCTGGCAAAAAGATTAAAACAAAGAAAACAACATTAAATTCTGAGCTGCTAAGTGTTTAAAACTATATACAGAACAGGAAAATTGGCCGGAAATGGGCCAATAACTACTTTACAGTGGCTCAGGTTTTCACCTATTTAAAAATCATTAGCTCAAACTTAATTCAAATGAGCATGTTCTGTTCATATTTATATTTTTAGTGTCTAGAACTTATATATTCAGATGTTTGTACAATGAATGAACAATAGATAGCTTAGCATTAATAAGTGAAGAATAAAGATTTAATACTGTTGTGAAGACAAACTTTTCTGCAGATTATTTCTCATATAAAACAAACAGTAAGCTTTAATAAGTACAGTAATATTTAAGGCATAATTATGAGCTACTCCACTAAACACAACAGAAATATATGACTTCTGAACTTCCACCAGCAGCATTTAAAAGAGTTAAGTTTTGCCCCTGATTTGAAAATGTAAACAAATGATGCCATTTTGGCTTTACCTCTTAAGTCTTCTGATCCTGCATTTACTCCCCCCATCCCCAATAAGTAGACAGATCCCAAGGCTTCCACATAAAGGCAAGTTGGAACACAAGAAACCTTTAGGCCATAGTAACTGTATGCTGTATCTATGGCTAAAGGCAAAGAGAGCAAATATGCCTATCTCTTAGAAAAAATGCCATAAAAGCACCCTCCTCCCCTCGCCTACAGCCCCTCTTTGAGGTACCAATGCCTTTTGTTCACTCCCTTGCAAACCTTTATCGACCTAATTATAGCTCACTTTAACCCATTCTGAATTCTCCTCATGTCCTTACACAAACCATGTTCCAATCACTCATACTGCTCCTTTTCTTTTACTTCTCAAACATTTGTTGAGCTATCTCCCATGGGCTTTATGGGATTAAATAAAATACTTCTATCATTTATTTTCTATGCATTTATAACCCCTATTTGGGGGGGGGGAAATAACATCAACTATTTATACATCTATCCTTTCTTGGCAAATAATTTCTCAAAAACTAGGTTTTTCACTTAAAAGCACAAACAATCACCTTGATTCATTTACAAATAAATATGTTGTGTCAACCCCTGAGGACAAAAATGAGTGTTTTATACTTCTTTTTTTTTTTTTGGGTAGAGACAGAGTTTCACTTTATCACCCTCGGTAGAGTGCTGTGGCATTACACTGCTCACAGCAACCTCCAACTCCTGGGCTTAGGCGATTCTCTTGCCTCAACCTCCCGAGTAGCTACGTTGTACTTCTTTATCTCTCCACAGTGCCTAATAAAACAAAGTAGTTGCATAATAGACCTTTGCCGCCTAGATGTACTTCACCACAGGGAATACTTTGTATTTGAAGAATATTGTTAAATAGGATTAGCAAGTTAAATAGAAGGATGACAAAACTGCAGTTAAATCTAAAAATCTGAGTGTACAGTGATCTAATTCTAACTAATACTGGACAAGAAGCTATGCAGGTTAAGAAACTATCAATTGGCTCGGCGCCTGTGGCTCAAGCGGCTAAGGCGCCAGCCACATACACCTAAGGTGGCGGGTTCGAATCCCCAGCCTGGGCCCGAAAAACAATAGGATTAGCAAGTTAAATAGAAGGATGACAA